CTATTCAAGAGGGCCAAGAAATAAGAATAGGAAAGAAAAGAAGCTACTGTACAGATTGTAGAAATATATATTGATGCAGATGGAAGTCAGAGCAGCTGCTGTCAATCCAATCTATATACAGAAATCATTGATGTAGGACAGTGATGGCTAACCTTTTTGGCACCAAGTGCCCAAAGTGCGCGTGCATCCCCAAAATGCAATGCACCCCCCCCGCGCATGCCCCCTGCCCCCTTGTGTATGCCATCTCTGACACGTGTGCCATAGGTTTGCCATCACAGATTTAGAATGATAGTAATGATTGAATAATGAAAAGGGTTTTCTTCGGCAGGAGGTTTTGCCAGAGAAGTCATTGCCAGTGAGAATTGCTGTAGCCAGTTATCATCTGATTCCACAGCTTCATCTCAAAGGAGTACGCTGAGTATGTATCTAGCAGTTCCACTTTCCTACAGCTTTCCTGAAAATATGGTGCATTTGATAGCTAAAGTTATTGAAGCAGGAGCTAGACAGCTTTCAACCAAGGATGGAAATTAATCCTCCAAGACACCTTCCAACTTTAGAATATCATGATCGTCACATATTGTTTTATCTTTGAGTGATATTTAAGTAGATTGACAAATATAACTCTTCTGGAGTTTTTTCTTATCTACTTGACACAATGATTGTCCCAAAGGTGCTTTTTTTGACACAACGATGGAAACAAGATGTTTCACCTGGTGGTGTTCATGCTTTTCTGGAATACCAGATCTGTAGCACAGAAACTTACATGTTCATCCAAACCTATAGTAAGCTCTAAATGCAGGAATGACAGACTTGAGAATACCCTTATCCATCTTTCTCATCTACTGTACTTCTTCCTACATGTAGAAAGGGACAGTGAGTGTCAGAAAACTTTTTTAAGGTTGCCTACTGGACATAATTATTTTCTGACCTAGTGTGAAAGTCTTAAAATATATTGCTAAGGTGACATGTTTTTTAAAGAATAGGATTACATTCCAGCAACAGTTTTGGTGGACATGATGATGCATTTAAAATTAAAGCCCCCCTTTTTTATACAGTCCAGAAAAAGTTAACCTTAAAAAGTCTAACTGAAATGAACATTTAACTCTAAAAGTTCCTCTGATTTTAGTAAGTTTTAAGAAGGCCTAATCTCCTCTGGATTGAACCTAAGGTCAGTAGTAGTGATTGGCTGTATTCATATAATCTACTGTGTTTCAGATTAAGCCACTTCATTGTATAATTCTGCATATCAGTAATTTGGAGAGCCTTATTTGATAGAATGGGATGCAGATCTAGATCTCAGTGCAACCTAACATTTTATTTGGGGTTTTAATGTTGACTAGATCCCACCACATTAAAATAGAGTTTGATCCGATATCTCATGTTGTGACATGATGAATCATACATGGCAACAACATACATGGTGCATACCGGAAACTGGTGTATTTGCTAAGAGTTTGAATTGTGAATTTACCAGTTTTATTTATTTATTTTACCTTTATACTTAACAGTCTTCAGCAGATCAGATGACCAAACAAGTATATTCCCAGTTACTTTATAAACTTTCAGAAATAACTCCTTAAATGTTTTGTGAATTGTTCTGTTTCACAGAAACCATATGCTGCCTTCCCAGCCTTATCATATATTCTATTATCTGCTTTCTTCGAAAACTTTTACAATCCTGCTACTGTGCAAGGTAAGTAGCAGTGCAAAAATGTTCAAAAACTCCTTTGAAAAGAAATCACGATCAAGACTTTGCATCTGACAGTCTTCCCCATTACAGAAGATCTCACTTGGGTGGGTTAGAAGTTGGAAATGTCATATATTGGATGTCTTTTGACAGGCAAGACTTTAAAGATGTGCTTTCTCTAATACCTTTCTTATTTTAATTGTCTTAATGAACTTTACGTATTTTAAATATTTTAAAAAATATTTTATTTATTTGTAAATTCATGTTATATATTAAAATAATTTATTATAATTTTGTGAAACATTCCACTATCTTATTGTATTTTAATGGTGCATTTTATGCACAAATTAATTATCCTTATTTTCTCCCTTCCTTGACTCTAAAAGTAACAAATTCTGCATTGGTCCCATTTGCACTTCCTTGCTTGTTGTCTCTCTGGTACTAAGTCCCTCCCTCTCCATTCAAGTCTACTTCTTTCAGATTCCCCAAACCTCATATCTTCTCCAGCCAACTTACTTGGCAATTTCTTTGGTGGTGAAAGTTGCCAAGCTTGTTCTACCCACCCTGGCTGAGCTGGGAATGGGACAACCCGCCATAGCCAAACTCATCACTGCAACCAAACTCGCCATGGCCAATATACCGCAGCCAACTCACCATGGCCAACTACCCGCAAGACAACTTGCCATGGGACAATTTAACAATTCAAATTTATTATTTAAAATAAATTTAAAAATGTTTTAAATTTTTGTCATTTACATTTCATCCTGTCCCTCCTTTCCCATCCTTTCTTCAATGATTCTATTCCATCATTTCTTTGATATTAGTGTAGCTCTTGCCCTGTGGCGAGTTGGCCATGGTGAGTTGGCTATGGCGAGTGGGCCGCATCAAATAGTCGTAGATCCAGCTGAGATATCCACTGACTTTGTGAATCCTTTGCATGGATTCAAGCTGCCTCTCTCCTCCATGACTTGCAGGAAGAAAGATAAGGATTGTGTTATGTCTTCCTCTACTGGTTATTCACAGTATTCCTCTTGCTGGTTTCCAACCACTCTTCTTTTTCTTTTCCTCTCCCTTCTGCTTTTCCATGTCTCAAATGTGTGACCTTAACATGCTTCTGAGCGCATTCTTAATCACGATCCTGGTTTATTTCCCCTCCCTCTCCCTGATCTTCTTAGGAGCTGGTTAAAGTATATTCCCAGAGTAAGGATATTTAGAAGAACAAACTCTTCTACATCCTGTGATTTAGCTTAACATTTCAACTTTTGCCTAGTTTACACCAACTTTATTGCAATCCCCTGGATTTCATTTACCATACCGGGACAATGAATGGTAATACTTCTGGTAGCTATCAAGCCTAAACACCCTATCAAGCCTTTTGGCTCACAGTAGATGCAAACCAAAATCAACAGTAAAGAGGGAGAAATAAGACTGGGGTTAACTGCTCGCATCATGCCACTACCCAAGTTGTATAATGAGGCCTAAGGGGCCAAGAGGCTTAATTCACAATAATTGACTCACTGTGTGGTGGTATCACTACATATTTCAAGAAACAGTATTGATGTTCCCATGTGCTATAGCTTTTATGTCTAGAAAGGGGAAGGCACTATTGACCCTAGAAAGTCAGTTTAATGTGTTTGTAATAGAAGGTTTTGAGGTGGAGTAAGGATTGTAGTGTTTCAGAGAAGTCATTTTAATTCTAAACATAGGAATGCACAGGGCATTTGCAGTCTAAAGTGCTATGGATAACTAGAACGGACACCCTGCATAAAATATATGCCCCATATATCAAGATTAGCTCGATACTCGTGCTTCGCTACGAAACTATGTGGTCTGGCTTAGTTTTTGGGGAGGAAAAGAAGGAGGGGGGAATTCTGCCTTTGCCTACCAGCATCCATCGATATTCATCTGGCTAGCATCCTATCTGTGTGTGTGTGAGAGAGAGTTGAAGGCTGTTTGGAAACTGAAAGAGTTTTGCTGTGTGAGCAAGGAGGAGACAGCAATGAGCCTGGGCGTGGCTTAGCTCAATTGTTCTGTACTAAAGCTACTTGGTGCTGTGAAACTAAAACTGAAGCTGAAACTCCTCTGCTTGTGTTTTGCATTTGGAAGAGATTTCTTTTCAAGTGGGGAGGGGGAGTAGAACTCCTTAGCATCAGAGCGTGTTAATAATAATATACAAAATACTAATGCTCTGATGGTCATTTTGAAAAATCCTTTCTTAGTGAGCACCTAGAAGCCAAGAGGAACATACAATTTCAAGTTTGTAGGCTTTACGGTTCTGGTGATTTTGTGATGATGTGTGAGTGGTATTTCGCTTTTATATATATAGATAACTGATTTAAAAATGCATGTAGATTGAATAATGGCCTAATAATTCAAAATGCATATGCATCCATCACAGATCATGATGATATGCAAAGGACAAAATACATATCATGATGCATGTATTGGCCTTTGATATTCCCCAGTATCACATGATAGTACAAAAATCAGGTGGTCTGCAAGATGATACATATATCCCATCCTTTGCCCTCCACCTGTCAAGATGGCTGCCTCTTTCTGGATACTTTTGGATTGCTCTCAAACAGCCAAGATATGTGGAGGGCAGAGGGAATGTCCTTGAAGGGCAGAAAATAGATCCTTATGAAGGCAATAGTTAGAACAAGTTTGAGCCCAGGTCAAGAAAATAATGTGTGAAAATATCTCAGGTCCCTCCCCAGGTCATATGAAGATAAAGTGAAGGAGGGAGGAAGCATGTCAACTTACAAGATTCTGTTAGTATAGATTTGCAATAAAACATCTGAATTTATATGGCTTTGGTTTCTAGTCTTGTCTACATTATAGGACTGACCATATCATATATCATATCATTTCATTCATTCTACATGATAATCTTATTCTAATTTATTCCAATAGCCTCTTGCCTTCTTAAGAACCAGCTTACTTCCTCCCTTACTTGCAGGAAGAGAGACAAGGCTTGTGCTATGTCTTCCTGTACTGCTTACTCATGAGTAGTCTTTCTGCTGACCCTCCTGGTTTCCAACAACTCTCCTCTTTCCTTTCCTCTCTCTTCTACTTTTCTGTGTCTCAAGCAATGGAACAACTTGAGCATTGCCTAGAATTGGATGCTTAGGAGAAAATGACCTGTTTTACACGAAGGCAAGCAATTTCCAATTCCATCTCTGCTTATCCAGTCTGGGAAAGGCCCCTGTTTGAAATCTAAGAATGCTGCTAACATTTTAAGCAATACTGATCTGGTTGAACTCAGTAAATGCAACTTCTAGGTGTTTGTTCCCTCTCTCATGCAACAGCTAGTATGGCCATAAGGTATGATGTGATACCATTGGCACTGGGGGTTAAGGAAACACCCTGTTGATGACATCACACCATGCATTGTTTTATGGCAGATATCAAGCAAGGAAGAGAGGAGAGAGAAAAAGACATGAAGTAGCAGCAACCCTTAGAATGACTTGTTAATAAACCTCTCTGGTTTGGGAAGAAACCAGCAATGTCCTTGAGTGACTTTCGCTATTATCAAGATTCCTATTCTTATCCTTAGCAAGTCCTAAGAATTGTTCCGTCCATTGACTTTCACTTAATGATCCTACCTTCCTCCTCAGGAATCAAAACCCCATGGCAAACTGTGTGAGATGCTTGACGTTGCTCCTCATAGCTGCCTCAATCATTTATGGTAAGTAAGTACTCATTGTTCTACTTGAGATTTGAAAAACATCCGAAGAGCGGCAGGTTCTCATGGGTCTAACATAAAAGGTGAGCTCATGTCGAGGATCTGAGGGTCAGAAGTCCCAATGTGCCAGAGATAACAGTCACTTTTATCCAGAAAAGTTCATGCTTTATAACGCAAGTCAGGTGCACAATGCAGAGGTTAAGGAGGGTCTGTTTACTGCTCATTATCACTGTGACAAACAACCCACCAATGGTGCCAGTGAAGCTCCACCCCAGCCCCCAGTTTTCCATCAGTCTGGGTTCACAGACGAAGTTCCAGCCAGCCCACAAGGCGAGAGGCAGGTAACAATACCAACAAGTCCAGTGTTCCAGCAACCAAAACACAGTCCAAGAGTCCGAGGTCTGAGAGCTGAGTCCAAGTCCAATGTTCAAGGAACAGGATCCAGCGAAGCCGGGAAGAAACACTTCAAAGTGAGCAAGGTGTCCCCAACAAGCACATCTTCCTAAGTGTCTGGTTAAATCACCCTTCCCCAGCTTTCCTTGTGAGGAAGGGCAAAGCTGCTTCCACCCAAGCAACCTCGCTGACCTCCTCTGTGTCCTTCTCTGTCCGGCTCTGCTCATCCGCGGATTGGCGAGGGAAAGGGTTGTTCCTCATTGTGATCATCTCTGTTGGCCCTCTGCAGCTGCTCTGCTCCTGCAGGGGGCTCCCCGTCCAGTTGGCCGCCACCCCCTACACTGCCAGACAGCCCTGGGACTGCCTCGTCCTCCGACCCTCAACTCTCCACTCCTTTGGAGAGGACTGTGTCCTCCCTATTGGGCGGTCCCAGCTCCAAGAACTCCAACCTCCCTCTCTGAACCGGGATCCGACAAAGTCATGGCACACCCGCAGATTCTTGCAGGACAAATATGCACGACAGTGTACAGCAGAAGGATCCAACCTGCATCAAGGGCATGTTATTATACATCCTACGACTTTCACCCTTTCCTTAGCAGATACAGATTTTTCTCCCAGTACTGAAAGAGATCCTGTCAGGGAAAATTTGGGTAGGTGGTTGAAGTAGAAGTAGTTGGGAGTTTGAATGGCAAGTATTGGTAGGAAGAAGTTAGTTTTTAAATGCTCTTTCAGGTAGTGGGAGAAGATGGCTTGGTGTGGTGATATCTTTCTTATATACACTTCTATATTACACAGTGTTTATAAAACTAGTCTTCCAAGCTTTTCTATTCTTTCAAAATGAAAGTCTTCAATATACCCTGTTTCTCCAACAATACGGCCTCCCCCAGTAGGAAGTCCCAGCATGTTTTATAGGCATGAAATGAAATTAAGCCCCTCCCCCCAAATTAAGGCCTATATTAAAACATGCGAAATGGGGGGGAATGGTGGGGGGGGGCTTGCCGTTAGGAAGCACTTTTGTGGCACACCCGGATATGGTGCTGCCTGCGTTGACCCCGATATGAAGTGCCCCGCCAATGCCGAGGTCAACATCCAAGCCATCGCTGCCCGCCCGCCCGAAGATGCAAGGGGGGGGGAATTAAGTCATCCCCGAAAAGACGGCCTAGCCATTTTTGGGGGGCTCAAAAAAAAAAAAAGACTCGGCCTTATTATATGAGAAACACGGTAGTTACCAAATCTCAGCGGAAATAGGATTAATTTACTTCTTGAAGAGTTTTGAGGAAAGAGGAGGAGGACACAGGAGTCTCCAGTCTTAGCTTTGCTTGGCTAAGGAATTCTAGGAGTTGAAGTCCACAAGTCTTAAAATTGCCAAGGTTGGAGACCCCTGGGATAACATGTTAGAGACTTCTTTCCTAATACTGTTCTAGTATGTCGCATGGCTGCAGTCCTGTCAGAGACCCAAAAATACAGGTACCCCTCAACTTATCACCACAACTGAGCCCAAAATTTATGTTGCTAAGTGAGACTTTTGTTAAATGAGTTTTGCCCCATTTTAGGAACTTTCTTGCCACGGTTGTTAAGCGAATCGTTGCAGTTAAGTTAATAGCATGTGTGAAAAACAGGCATAAGTCATTTTTTCGGTGCCGTTGTAACTTTGAATGTTCACTAAATGAACTGTTGTAAGTCGAGGATTACCAGTACTAAGAAAACTGCATGGACACATGCATAGTTAATAGACATTAAACATCACTCAAAGGAGATTCCAGTAGAGAGAAGCTTCCTGAATATGGGCTCCCACCGGAGTCCAAAAGCTTGGGAGTCAACCTCTGGATCCGGTGACTGGCCCACATTCAATAAAAGGAAATTTTATATTCACTAAACTGGATACTGAGGCTGAGAGTTGTTCTGTAATAAGTCCCAGTTAAGAGGCTGTAGGTGAGAGTCATGCAATTTCAAATTGGACTTGCAGTGTGAAAAAGCAAGTCTATGAATCGGCACTTGAGCAATTCCCTCTGTGTGAAATAACCAGGTTGAGTTCTGTGCCCCTTTAGCCATTTCTTGGACATGAAGCTTCAAGTTAAAAGACATTTATAGAGTTAATTGTAGAAACTTCCCATTTTTGCTTATTTCTTACAGGTGTCGTTTACTGCGTTTGTCAATACCTCCAATTATCAGATGGCCTATCCTCAAAGGTAAATACCATTCCACATAATGGACAGAAAGGGAAGTCATCAAAACGGTTTGGGGCCAGATTGGGCAACTCATGGAGAATTTGGGAAGTATGCCATGGGCCTCAAGACAAAATGGCTGCCACACACAAAGAGCTTTTCCTCACTAGCGATTCTCAATGGAAAAAAGCACTTGCTGGATAAGCAGAGGTCAACATAATGGAGGCGCTGTTCATATTTGCTTTCTTGGGTTTTGAGGCTGCCAAAAATGTTGTATCTGGAAAACAGAAAATGAATTTGTGTATAGTCCACTATCATGGGAGTGACAGTTAAAACCTGGATTTCCTTTGTTTTTTTAAATAAAAGAATGGCTCAAGTAGCTCCTCTATTTTTGTATCCAATAACAGATAGTCCTTGTTTAGTGACTGCAATTGACAAACTACAAGTGGGTTGTTCAGCAAAGCTGTCACTAAGTGAAAAATCACATGACCACAATTCTGCTTATTATTTTACTTCAGCTTTCCCTTGCTTTACAGCATCAGAAAGATACAATCCCAAACAGTTGCTTGAGCCCAAACAATATGGAAGGTGTTGGAAACCCAGTTTATGAAGAACCTGGGGAAAATGCCCTTTTCCCCTATTCCACACCACTTGAAATGCTCACCCTGGCACTGGGATAATTAGAAGGAAGTTAATGTTTGTATTTACAAGAGTGAGCAGGCACACAATGGGGGAATACATATTGAAAGGAGTGTAGCTGCTAGCTTCTTAGGAGGCAAATGCCTTCAGGGTGAAAGTGGTTAGGATTTTGTCAATTCCAGACAGCAGCTGCCAGCAGGCTGTAATCAACTAATTAAGATTACACACCTGAGCCTATTAAGTTGTTCTCAGCAATTTTGGAGGAAGCACTGCTACACAAACAAGCAGCTCAGGAAGTGATAGCTTGGTTGAATTTGGTATAGTGATTAAAGTGCTGGCTTAGAAACCAGGAGACTGTGAGTTCTAGTCCTGCCTTAACCATGAAAGCAAGCTGGGTGAACTTGAGCCAGTCACACTCTCTCTCAGCCTAATTCACTTCATGTTGTTGTAGGAAAAATAAGAGGAAGAAGGTTGGATATGCTTACCACAGGGGTAGGATACGACAGGGTTAACTACCGGTTCGGGATTTACGAGCTTCCCTGCACGCTGTGAGCCGCGCGCCTGTAAATCATCATCAGCATGCTGTGTGCAGAGACGCAGCCTTTGAAACAGCCCTGTTTTCCTGCTTTTTTAACTGCAGCTGTGGTTTGTTTGGTAGCTGAAGTTGAAAAATTAGGAAATAAAGATCAGGTAAGAGCCTGGGTGGGCGGGTGGGCAAAAACATCAGCAGACGTAGAACCGGTTCTATGTCTGCTGCTCTTCAGAGCTACCAGTTCTACAGAGGTGGACAGAACCGGTAGAAACCCCCTTGGCTTACCACAATAGATTATTTTGTTTATAATAATACTAATAGTAATAGTAATAATAATAATAATAGAAAGTGGGATACAAACAAGCAAACATAAAAATCTCTTGGCTCTATGAGGGGAATGGGATAAGCACAAGGCAATGCGGACATGTGACCAAATGACGTTGCAAAAATAAATGTGGGTATCAGTCTCAAAGTTACTTTTTCATCATCTTTGTAATTGTAAATTGTCACTGTCTGAGGCAATCACTAAATGAAGACTTATCTGTAATCAGTATGATAAGATTGTAATTTGCCACATAATTCTGATTGGGTAGGTATGGAATTGAACTTAAGTCAAGAAGTATTTTTTTCTAAGATGGTCATAGATTAACTACAGTTAATTATGGTTAGGGTCCACATGTTTGACTGTTTATATTAAAGTTGAATCTTATCTGTTTGTTTATTCTTCCAACAGGAACTTACAAAAGTGTACGAAACTGAGCTAAATGAACTCTGGTAAGGCTATTCTACATCCCTCCAAAATATCTTTTAAAAAAAGACTCATTAATTAAATTTGTAAGCTGCTTCAGCCTATCCCAACTCTAGGCAGTTTACAAAATACAATAGTAAAAACAAGAATGTGCATAAGCTTTAAAAAAAAGTCTAGAGATCCTCATTCAATAAACTAAAACACCCCAAAGAGGTTTCTCCCCTTCAAACCTAAGATATGGAAGAAAAGTGATGGTTTAAAGGCTTGTATAGCATGAGAGCTGTACAAACCTCAGGGAATGTGGCTTATTGAAATGCAGCATCAACCCAGCCAGGCTAGACTCACATGAACCACCTAAGACAGGACTGCCCTACCTTGGCAACCTTCAGACCTGTGGACTTCAACTCCCAGAATTCCCAACCAGCCATGCCCTGGTTTAGGAGTTTAGGCCTCCACCCTCATGACCTCATGTACATTAGGATTAAAACGATAGGTTGTCCAATCCCATCCTTGGCCTACACCAGTCCCTTTGGAGACAGTCTTAAGATTGAAAACACATTGGAAGCAGTGGTGGGATTCAAATATTTTTACTACTGGTTCGGTGGGCATGGCTTGGTGGGTGTGGCAGGGAAAGGTTACTGCTAAATCCCATTCCCTCCCCACCCCACTAACCTGCTTTCCAGCTCCGTTCTCCTGTGCAGGGCAACAAAAGAAGACCCAGTCGATCAGCTGGGACTCAATGGGAAGCAGAGAATAGATAGGGGTGGGGCCAGTCAGAGGGGGTATTTGCCAGTTCTCCGAACTACTCAAAATTTCCACTACCAGTTTTTCAAAACTGGTCAGAGCCTGCTGAATACTACCTCTGACTGGAAGACTTATCCAGAGAATAACTTTGGTTAGCGACCACAGTGCAACATTCTTTTGCACTGCAGGATAAAATATTTAAGTTGCAATTCTATGGACCTTTTTGTGGAAGTAAGTTCCACTGAATTCAATAAGATTCATTCCTGACTATGTATTTTTAGGGTATTGGGGTCAGGCATGCATAATATATCATTTCCTGAATCTAGCATCCTTCAGATTCAGGGGAAATGCCTTAATTTTCAGGCTTATGTACCCACAATAATAGGCTGCTGCATTGCAGGCCCAGGAATGGTCTGGCAAACAGTTATGATGACAGGCAGTCCCCAACTTACGACCACAATTGAGCCCAAAATTTTTGTTGCTAAGCGAGACATTTGTTAAGTGAATTTTGCCCCATTTTAAGACTATCTTGCTACACTTGTTAAGTGAAACTCTGCCCTTGTTAAGTTAGTAGCACGGTTATTAAATGAATCTGGCTTCCTTATTGACTTTGCTTGTCAAAAGGTTGCAAAAAGGTGATCAATCAGTTGCCAAATGTCTGAATTTTGATCCCGTGACCACGGAGAGGCCGCAACGGTCGTAAGTGTGAAAAATGGTCATAAGTTACTTTTTTCAGTGCCATTATAACTTCAAACCATCACTAAGTGAACTGTTGTAAGGCAAAGGCTCCCTGTATTAACATTAGTCTACGGCAGAGGTCTCAAACACAATTTACCTGGGGGCCGCTGGAGGCAGAGTCTGGGTGAGGCTGGGCCGCATAATATTATACTTTATATTATACTTTATATTTATATTATACACTAATATTATACTTTCATATCACGGTGGGGGCCACGGGATATCGTCCTGCGGGCCGCAATTGGCCCGCGGGCCGCGAGAATGAGACCTCTGGTCTACGGCGAAGATCCGGGCAACACAAGATGGCAGCAACAGTAGAATGATTTGTATCCTTTTGCTGCCATCTAGCAGTTTTTCAGAGTTTTGCAGCCCGTATATAATCCTGACACCCATTTTTTCCCCCTTTATTCCCAGGAAATCACAACATTTGCTTGAAGAACAATTCCAGGAAATTCAGGGCCTTAAAAAAGAGATGGATCAGATGCATTCTGAGATCGGCAGCATCAAGAAAGGCATCCTACAGTCCACAAAGCAAATCATTGAGGAAAGTGACCTTCCAGGAGAGAAGAAAGTAGGAAGCTGAAGCTAATCTCAGAAATTCTCTGCTTTCCTATCTTTCCAGATTATCGTTTTTCTTTTCACATCTATTGCTCCCATAGAACGTCATTTTTTTTCTTTTTTTTTCTTTCACAAAACTAAGTCTATTAGACTTGTTCTCATGCCCAGCCTCAAGACTACCAAATATGCTTAAAAATACAGTAGGGAAAACATTGAACCCCAATGAGAATCTCTTTCCTGCTGCAAAGGATGTGTGTGTGTGATAATTTCATACTGGGCACTAGTATCCTAGATGGCATCCAGTTTTGGTCACCACAATATAAACAAGATTTTGAGAAAGAAGAGCAGCAAGGATGATTAGGGGACTGGAGCAGAGGTGGGCTGCTGCTGGTTCACACTGGTTCTGGCGGGCTGGTAATTAAGATTAGGTTCAGTTTGGTGAACCTGCAAATCCCACCATTGGCTGGCCCTATCCCTCCTGTTTTTTTGGTCTGTTTTTCTGGCTGTTTTGGGGCTGTTTTGGGGCCATTTTCCAGGCCCAAAAAACAGCCTGAAAACAGACCAAAAACAGGCCAACAAATGGGCGGGGTGGGGCCAGCCATTGGTGGGATTAGCTCCAACTGGCTGAATCTTACCTCTTCCTTTGAGGCGAGTGGCCAGGAGGTGGAGTTGGTTGTGATAAGTGACATCACCCACCCAGTCATATGACCAACCGGCCATGCCTACCCAGCCAGAGAACCAGTTGTTAAAAAATGTGCAGCCCACCACTGTACTGGAGGCTAAAACATACAGGGAATGGTTACAAGGATTGGGTATATGTGGTCTAATGAAAAGAGGGACTAGGGATGACAAGATAGCACTGTTCCAGTATTTGAGGGGCTGCCCCAAAGAGAAGGTCAAATTCTCCAAAGTATCACAGGGCAAGACAAGAAATAATGGATGGAAACTAATCAAGAGAAGAAGCAACCTAAAACCAAGGAGAAATTTCCTAACGGTGAGATCAACGAACCAGTGGAATGGCTTGCCTTCAGAGGTTTTGCAACCCTGTCGCTGGAAGCTTTTAAGAAGAGACTGGACAGCCATTTCTCTGAAATGGTATGGGGTTTCCTGCTCTTGAGCAGGAGGTTGGACTACGGGACCTCCAAGTTCCCTTCCATATCTGTTATTCTATGAAAGGACTAAATAGCTTTGCATGGTGTACAGTTTAGCTTTTTTATGTGTTTAAATGTCTTTAGTGAGGACATAGTGTGTTCTGTATGATGGGAGTTATCTTGTCTGCTTGGCTAAGGATGTGCCAGGTGTGCAGTAACATGAGGCAAAAGTAGGACAACCCCTAGACAGGTTTCCCACTGCTCATGATAGTGATACTTATTGTTGAGGTATTCCCCGTTAGGAGAATGAGTGCACTCAGGGAAACGTAGTGAGACTGATGTTGAATAACACACGATCAGCATACAGATACACTGAATAGTAAAATGTAGGTTTTACTTCCAGTAAACGGGTAAACGATGTCCAACAAACAGTCCAAATCATGCATGGTTAAAGCAGGTAGTATTCAATACAGTCAATCCAAAAACGAAAGTCCAGTATCATAAACAAAGTTCAGTAAATGGAGTTTGCTAATAGTTTGCAAAACTCACAGCAATCCAAGCAGAATGACATTCAGGCAAAAGGCAACAAGGAAATGCAAGAAGAGAGCAAACCAGGTTTCTGAACTTTGTTTATGATACTGGACTTTGTTTTTGGATTATCCCTGGACTGATTGTATTGAATACTATCTGCTTTAACTGTGTATGATTTGGACTGTTTGTTGGACTTTGTTTACCCATTTACTGGAAGTAAAATCTACATTTTACTATTCAGTGTATCTGTATGCTGGTTGTGTGTTATTCAACACCACTCTCACTACGTTTCCTGAGTGCACTCATTCTCCTAATGGGGAATACCTCAACACTTATAATAAAGGGTGTTCTAGTATGTTTTAAGTCTTTATGATGAAGACAATTAGTGTTTTGGAGAGTTGGGTGGTATAGAAATTTAATAATAAATAAATAAAAACTAAAATTATAGGATTACCATTTACCAAAAGTTCAAAGGGAATTTGTAGATCTTCAACCTGCTACATGAACTAGTCTGGCTCGATTGATTGATTGTCCTATGAATTATTAAATCACCTCTCCTTTCTGTCCATTTTTCTTATCTGCAGAAGTCCCAACCTTCACACCCCCAAAAATGTAGGCATTGCATGGAGATTTCTGCACTGACATAAAGTTTTGTCTTTTGACATTGGCCTCGAAGTGCCTTTGACTAGAGCTCTCAAAATGAAATGCTGTCTTTCAGTGGTCTGAAAGATTTGAAGAAATCATCATTTCCTAGAGAAATCAAGATGGTTATTTGAAGTAGAGCTCTCAATTGTGCCCTAGGGCTGGCTACAGTGAGTGTTTCATAACCATCATCTTTCCACATACTTAAATCATATATGAAGACATCTGAATACTATCTAATAGAATTGTGGTACACAGCATCAGCAGCCACTCTTTATTAGCTAAATTTTGATATAAACAAATATTAGGTTAGATCAACTGGTAACATTAGATACCAGTTAACATTCCTTTATGAGCTATTCATTTGGGCACATTTCCATCTTTATCCAGCAAATGTGAGGAACAAACCATTTCCTGAATTGGCAAATTTTGGCTTTTTTGACATGATGCTTCATTCTCCATATTCTTGTGTCTGTTGCTAGCAGTTGGAACCAAGTCTTTGTGCTATTTATAATTTATGGTGTATAAACCATTCCCCTGATGCATTTTTCTTCTCCTTCACAGGAAATGCTCAATATACTCAGTTTGGCTTTTAAGAAGATTTTTGAAGATGACATACAGATGGCTGACTGGGCTCAAAAGTCAATAGGTAATGCCCTGACAAGATGGAGTGGCTTTGGGTTTACAACTCATGGCCAGGAGGGCCTTTGCATAAACTGCTACTTGTGCGCCAGTTACACCCAGTTCTGAACCAACATGCCTGCTTCACCCTCACCCATGCTGTAGTCGTCTCCCATTTGGACTACTATAATGTGCTCTACATGGGGTTGCCCTTAAGAAGTATCTGGAAGATTCAGTTGATTCAAAATTCAGTGGCCCACATAGTTTTGCACAAGACAAGATTTGTGCATGTATCACCTCTTATGAGGGAACTTATCAATCTGCTTCTGGGTGCAACTCAAAGTGCTGTATGTTACCTTTAAATCCCTACAGGGACATCCTTTCATCAGTTACATCTTTCTGGTCCACCAGAGTGGGAAGGCAAAGTATGTTGTGGGTTCCTTCTATTAGGGAGGTACATCTTGTGGGACCAAGGAGAAGAGCTCTCTTTATATTAGCCCCCTCCCTTTGGAACATCATTCCCTCAGAAATAAGATTGGCCTCCACCTTGTTACTTTTTGGCAAGGCTTGGTTTTGTCAGCAGGCCTGAGGACCCCTGGTTGATATGGCGCTAACCAAGCAGCTGATGTGAGTTTGTGGTAACTGTCACTGGGGAGGGAGGGCTAATGGGGTTTTTCACACTGTAATCTTTTTAATGTCGTAAGCTGTCTGGAATAACTGTGTAAGAGTTGGGCAGCCATATGAATATGTTTAATAAAGAAACATATATATTGAAGGAAATGTGTGCAAATAGACACGTTGAACAAACTGGTATGAGAATGGAAAAGAACTGAACTGAAGCTTGGAAAAAAAAATAAAGTGACTTGAAATTGTTTATCTCTCTCTCCACACTAAACTCTACAAAAGATGAGTTGCTATTGGATAATTATATAAAACAATGTAATGTTTGATGAAAAGTTTCTTTATATTTTATTCTGTACTTATTCTAGCATTTATACAAGCTTATCATCTATCTACATGGAGACTATCTCAGGGGTCGGATTCAAATTTTTTAACAACCAGTTCTGTGGGTGTGGCTTAGGTGGTGGGCATGGCTTGCTGGTCATGTTATTGGCTGGATGTGGCCAACTCAATATCACTCACATCGAGGCACGCATCTCCTCACCTGGCCTCTCATGACTGTGGGGATGCTGCAACAGTCGTAAGTGTGAAAAATGGTCATAAGTCACTTTTTTCAGTGCCATTGTAACTTTGAATGGTCACTCCACACAAGCAAAGTACCAGCAAAGGAGGAGAAAAAACTCCAGAGATGTTCCTGAGACAGGAAGTCTAGTCCTGCCAAGAATGTAATAAGGGTTAATGGAGAGGCAGGTTCTGTAAGCAACACCAGAATGTTTCCCTCCTGCCTTCCTTACAGGATTAGGCCAGTAATTTCTTCTAACAACTGGTTCTCCGAACTGTTTAAAATGTTAACAAGCGGTTCTAGAGAATAG